TTTTTTGAATACAAAAAAATACGAAAAAATACATGAAATACATTTTTTCGCATGCATGCATTAATTTTTTGTGTTTAAAAAATTCCAAAAAATACATTTTTTAAGTCATGAATAACCCCATAATTCCGACAATAAGGGAAGAGGTGAAACAGTAAAAAGAAATCAGGAAATTGGTTTTTTTTTCAACAGGATATATTAGGTTGGTAAAAAAGTAATGCGCGTTTTTGATGTACTTAAAATTTATGCAAAACCAAAACGAAAGTATATAAATCGATGGGGTATTTTTTATTATTATCGACCCTTTTCTGCCAATGTATGAGCAAAGATTGGATGCATCTGTTGTAGAACTACACTAGCTGTGGTTCGAAGTAGTTCTGACCAAACGCGCATTACTTTTTTACCAGCCTATTATTTTCAGAAACGCGTTCTAGAATTTCAGCAAGTCCTGGTGCGGACCCAATCTCCAAAAGAGGAAAACAACGCGGTAATACTCCTCTCCCAGAGAACAAAAAACGTATTTTCCGATCCGGCGGACCCACGGAACGGACAATAGATGACCTTTGAAACGACAAAGCACTCAATTCCTTTCAATTGTTTTGTATACGATAATACATATGCAGATCAAAAGAAGTGAAAGAGGAACACATGAACAAAAAATGCCGTGTCAGAAGGGTTTTTCTGAGAAGAAAAATTGGGCAGAAATGCTTTAAATCATTAGAAAGACAACATAATTCTTGAAATTTCGAAAAAAATGATTGAAAACCGAATAAAAATTACTGTTTTCTGCACTTTTATGTACTAAGCTACGAGAAAATGCAGACAAGCAAATTGGCGCCTTTTCAAATGCGGTGACAGTACCGAATTTCAGGATATTCCGATGTTGAAGATTTCGGAATTCCAAAAAAGTTCCATTTTCAAATCCGATTTTGAAGTAGAAATCCCACTTCTCCATTACAAAGGCCAAAAAATCGGTGGAAAAGTTTGATTTCGAAAACGCCAAAAAAACATGAGAAGTAATTCCTCTTGAGACCCACAAGAGAACTTTTTTTCCTTCGATGTACAGTAGTCTGAAAATGGACCGAATTTTAAGAATAAATTTCCGAGAAAAAAATTCGGAATAAAATTCTGGTCGGAATATTTCCAGAGCTTCTTTTGGAATTCAATTCTCGTACAGACCTAAAGTCGAACTGATTCAAATCAGAACAGTGTCTTTCTCGAACAAGTATCAAAACAGAACAAGGACAGAATCGAACTGTTCTGATTCGAACTGCGCACTGTCGAACTGTCCCAAATTGGAA